TGTTTAAGATGATTGTGTATCGTGCAATGCATATTTGTGATTGTAGGTCATGAGTCAAGGACTGCTTGACCAACCGTTCTGAAAGTCCACTGTGAGTAACGTTATTGTAAAGATATGTTCATATGAATTATATTTCAAATGTGATTTCATAAGTTATAATTTCTAAAATAATATTTGTTTACGTGAACGAATGTCCTATGTTTGAAATCTATTATAACATCCACAGATAGTCTTAAGTCATGGGGGACGGCATGTTAATGTAAGTCCATGATATATATGTGATTACAAGATCTCGTTAGCCACTTCATTGTGGTGATATGTGTTTAATCGGTATTCGGAACCAATTACTCTAGTCGGAAGACGATATGTGATATGTTCTGTGATATGTATGTTCTGATATGAGACTAATATGAATGATTGTGTCATGATTTATTTTACAGATATGATATATTTGAAATTTGTTCACTAACCCTTTTACTTTAATGTTATTCACTGGGTTTTAACTCACTGTTTATATATATATGTATAGGTGAGCGTTCTGGAGGACGAGTCTAGAAAGAGTCTTTAGCAGAGCTACCGTTTTGAAGCCTACCGCGTGGTTTTGAATGCCTCAGAGTTGAGGCTAGGCCTAGAAGGCAATTGTCAGGCTTTTGATTGTGAAATAAATTTTTATTATGTGCATATCTTATATATAAGATGTTAAGTTACAAGTTATGTATTGAATGTGGGCAAATTAACGTTTTTGCATGTAAATATTTGTTCATATAGATGCACAACTCATTAGACTATTGGTGTTTTTGAATATTGCTTCCGCTAGCCCTAATTATTTTTTTATTGTACAAGAAGGCCTTTTGTAATATCAGATTACTGACCGGTTACGATACCAAATTTAAAGGGGCGGGTTTGGGTAATGAAGCATTTAGTTTGGTTTCTTTAGATCTATCACCAACCTCACACCAAAAATTTTAAATTGTTTATTTTGTGACTTTTTTTTATGTAGATTATTTATATAAAGAAATAAATTTATCTAATAATTATAGTATATAATTTTATTATTTTTATCTTAAAAAATATATAATATATTTTAAAATTATGCTTATCTATCTTTCAAGACATACAATAAAATTATTTAATTATTATTATCGAATCAATCCATTTTTTTTTTAAAGATTAGCTGCACATAAAAATCTACAATATACTATCTCCGTCCCAAAATATTAGTCTATTTTTTCATTTTTTATTGTCTCAAAATATTAGTCTCTTTTAAAAAATCAAATAATAAAAGAATAAGAATTTATTATTTTACCGTTCTTTTAAATAATTAATAACACAAAAAGTATAATTATGACAATTGAAATTTTCAAAAAAATATATTATCAAAGGGAAATTTTAGCAAATTAATATTTTTAAAATGTAATAATTATACTATTAAAAAAAGTTCGATTCCCCAAAAAGAACTATTATTTTGAGATGGAAAAAGTAATAAAGATAATACTAACCATTGTCTTTACGGCATCAGTTGAGTTTCAAAAATATATTAACACACTTAATTATGTAAAAAGTGTATAAATATATAAAAAGTACATTAAAATTTTAATTTTTTTTAAATTTGTATTTGACTCTTAACGAACACTCTACCCTCAGGCCTTGTTATTTTGCCAAATTAAATTGTAATAAGAATAGTGAAATTGAGTGATAAAATTATTAGTATGATACTATTAAATTAAATATGTAAAGTGGTAGTAGATTACATATGTAATTGTATTTATTTGTCTACTAATTTGGTGGTATTAGTTGTTTAAAATTAAATTTATGAATTTAAGTAAAAAAATCTTCAATATGTGGCGTCATTATTATTATTATTATTATTTTTGAACACGGAACGAAATAGCATATATATTAGCCATAGGGTAAAACAGCTACAGATTTTGCAAGTTTGTGTGCTGGTTCGACCAACAACCTGTCCACTTTAGTTATACATAGAAATAGAAAAGCAGAACTTAAAACCAAAATATCTTGTACTACTAAATCTACCTCCCAATCTAAACTACGTTTTTGTTTATAGTTATCAACTAAAACTTTACAATCAATAAAAATAGTTAGGCATTTAATCTTCATCATGACAGCCCACTTAATAGCCTCCAAAAAGAGCTCTTGCTTCCGCCAATAATGGTGAGGACAACTAAGTGGATATCGCTCGTCGGTATACTTGCATTTGATCTTCATCAAAACAAACCCATGCTAGGCCCGCTGCTCCATTACTTTGCTGTCATGCTCCATCCACCACACACAAGTAAAAAGTTGAAAATCATCAGAAGCCACACAATTATTTACAATAACACAACAGTTATTAGATGATGAGATACTCAGCTGTGAATGCGTATAGTCCGAGCTAGCATTGGTTACATCTATGTTACTAGTAGACCATTGCAATTTAAATTCATCAACCAGACATAAAGTCTGTTCGATTGACAATTGTTCATTTTCAAAAATCTTCATGTTACGCTGTCTCCAAATTGCCCAAAAAATGGCTATGGAATGGGGAATGATCTCATCCTCATGAACAGTTTTAACCCACTCCGTCCACCAGGTAGTAAACCCAACAGGGTGACCTACCGAGAAATCCAACCCCAAAATGGTGCCCCTCCATACACGTTAAGATCATAGACTCTCAAAGAAAACATGCTCTCTCGTTTCCTCAGTTTAGCCACATCTAGCACATAATGTATCCAGTGGTATGCCTCTCCTTCTAAGCTGCCATTGTACCGGAAGAATGTTATGAAGGCATTTCCAAAGGAACAAGCCCAATTTAGAAGGCAAGTTTATCTTCCACAATTTTTTCCAAACTAAAGGATGAATTTCATTTCCGCAATGATTACCCTTTTGTCTATGTTTAATAGCAGGCCAATAACCCGATTTAACCGAAAAAATCCCATTTTTAGTGTTGGTCCATAACAATTTATCTGGGCAAGAAACTAAAGGAATGTGTATTCCTGATATCAAGGGGACCACTGTTGCTGAAAATAACCAAGCAAGCAGATCACCTCTCCAACAATTGTTTGGAAAGTCTATCAAATGTGCCATTTTCATTGCTGGAAAATATTTGGACAGCCCTATACCTCACACTGGATTGATTTGCCCTGGAATCCAAGAATCCTCTAATGGGTTTATAGACTGTCCATTGCCAACCCTCCAAACTAACCCTCCCTTCAACAAATCCCTACCCCACATTATACTTTTCCATCCCCAAGACGCAGCTTTAAAACACTAACTTCAAGAAAAATTTTGTGGGAGCTATATTTCCCTAAAAATACTGTAGCAAACAAAGAATTCGGATTGGAAATTAAGGCCTCGTTTGGCAACAGGTCGGTTTAGCCAAAAAGTCAAAAAACCAACAATCCATACCAAAAAGTCAAAGATTCTCTTTTCTCTCTACTTTTTGCACATATTTTCGTAAAAAATCAAAAAGTCATCTCAAACATACTAATTTTTTTTAGCTCATATTTTAACCAAATAGCCAAAAAATTATTAAATTAGCATGTTTCCAAACGAGGTCTAACTGACAAGCTTGCTTTGCTAAGAGCGCCTGATTAAAACAACCCAAATCGAGCCCTCCCTCATTCTTAGGTAAATACAAACTATCCCATTTTTTCCAGAAAACTCCATGGCTCAAATTTGATTGCCATAAAAAACAACGAATAATGACTTTCATCTTCTGAAGAACCTCACTTGGAAGTTTAAAAACGGACATTATATATATGGGTACAACTTGTAATACATGTTTAGTCATAATGCATCTACCAGCAAAATTTAATAGCTGACATTTCCATCCTTACAACTTGCATGAAATTTTATCAACCAAAATTTTAAAGACCTCACTTTTAGACCTCCCAGACAAATTGAAAGACGCTCCAAAATAAATTCCAGGATTGGGTACCACTTTAAATCTAAAAATAGATTCCAAAACGTACCTTTCTCGGCCACTAAATTTGGGGCTTGTATACAACCCAGACTTAGTAATATTAATTCTTAGCCTAGATTGCTCACAAAAAACATTTAAAAGCCATTGTAAACGCCATACCTTCTCTCCTTTAAATTGCATAAATAAAAAACAATCATCAACAAACATTAAATGAGAAACTGGAGGTGAATGCTTACTAATAGCAATACCTCTACAAATACCTTTCTGTGCAAAATGATTTAACCCCTCAAATAATGCTTGCATAACAATAATGAACAAATAAGGCAACAAAGGATTCCCTTGCCTCAACCTAGCTTGTGGAGTAAAGAATTCTGAGTAAAACAGAAAAAGAAACTGTGAAAACACATTGATGTATTAGCTGAACCTAATGATCACTAAATCCCATACACTGAAGTATAAAAAGTAAAAACTCCCAATTGACACGATCCTAGGCTTTATTCATGTCTAGCTTTAATCCAAAAAACACATTACGCCCTTTTTTAGTATGTCCAATAAATTCAATCAACTCATGGGCAATCAAAATATTATCAAAAATAATACGACCCTTAAGAAAAGCACTTGGTTAGGGGCAATTAAATCAAGCAACACCTCGCGCAATCTATTGGCCAATGCGAAATTAATTCTCCTTTGAGGGGATTCGTAATCTCATGATACTATGACATTTTTACAAAACAAATATAATCAATGTATAATTATCAAATTATTAATCTAATCCAACAAACGTGACATAAATAATTCAAGGGTAAATTACAAATGTATTTCTTGAAATTTATCTAAAATATTAATTGTCATTAATTAATCATTGAGTCAATTAACAATTTGTAATAATATCAGTAATATATTTTAATTAATACTTATAATAATTTCATTGTTATATAGGAGAATAGTTTTTTTTTTTTTTTTTTTTTAACAATATTAAAAAACAAATTTAAAAAAAAATATATATATATATTTTTTATGAGTGAGAAAGTGGCTATCATAAAAAATCTCAAATCATCATATACATGGACCACAATCCCAAACTATACCGGCACGCCATTAAAAATAAATTATTACAGACCCAAAAAAAAGTTGAAAATAATTTTTTAATATCCGAATTATTTAACCCAGAAGAAAAGCATGGATCCGTGACTAACGGCCTCAAACGACAAACGGCAAATTGAGCCGTCAAAATCTCCGTCAACGAAATTCAAATCTAAAATCCACAACGGCTCTCTGAAACCACCACCACCACACTCTGCTCCAACTTTTTCTCTCTACTTTCTCATTCACATAACTCTCAAAACATTTTCAATTTCGTGGTCGATCCCTAATGTCACGACGAGGTACGTCCTCTTTCTCTCTCTCTCCATTATTATTATATGATTTTTCTGTTTGGTTGCTGAGAAATTTCACTGAAAATATGATATATTGGAACATTGTAACTTCTTGTTGGGATTTTTTTATCAATTGATTTGTTTTCTTCCCCACTTACTTTTTTCTTTTTTTTTTCCATTCTAAACCTTCTTTGGGTTTTTTTAATTTTTTCTTTATTTTTCAGTTATTTGAAAATTTCTTGGAGTTTACGGTTTCTTGTCTCTCAAATAGTTGGATCGTCCACAAGAAATCCTGCAATTAATAACAGAGAAAAACAAAAACTATATGTAAGTTCAAATGTTGCAATCCTGAAACTAGTTTAAGCATTACAAAGGGAAAGGGTGTTTTGAAGAAACCATACTCTCTCTCTCTCCCTCTTTTTTTTTTTTTTTTGGCAATTCTTGATTTATTTAAAATCCAAATTGTTTCTGGTATTCTCACATGAATTAATTCCCCATTTCTTTGGAAGAATATATGTCAAAACATGAGACTAAAAAGTTCTCTCATTTATGATTAACTGTCAATTTTTAATTTTTTTTACTGCATAGTTTGCCAATTTTTCTGAATTTAAGAAACATGACTTCATTTATGATTAACTGTCAATTTTTAATTTTTTTTACTGCATAGTTTGCCAATTTTTCTGAATTTAAGAAACATGACTCCTAATTTCATATGCCCAACAAGGTTTTGTCTAATTGATATAGAGTTTTCTTATATCTATATATATAGGGCTTTTGAAATGGGTATTCTCTTTGCCATTATTACATTTTTCCATAGAGATGTGGAAGTACGAGACTTATTACTTTCTAGTAAATACTTGATTTGCGTTCCTTATTATCAGTAAAGTTATCAATATTTGTTGGAATGAAGTTGCTTTTGTTGACATGAGGTCTTTTTTCTTCGTATCAATAATAGAATGTTTATTTGTTGTTCTAGTTACATCAGTTTGTCATTTGAGAATGTTTGTTCCTTAAAATTGTTTTTTTTCTTTGAAGGAAACTATAGTTATAAAGGAAAAAAAAATTAGGGTAAACTACCAATTGATCCTAATAGTTGGACTTAATTCCCATCAAGTCCTATTAAAAATAAGTCTTGATAAAATTGTTGCTAAAAATAATTTTTTTGTGACAATTTTTTGTATATGTCATTAAAATTTGACAATTGATGACTTTCTTTTGTTATGATTTTTATAAATCGTCGCTAAAATTTACAATTAGTAACTTTTTTTAGGACAAATTTTTTCCATAAGACCTATTAAACAATAAGTTCACTTATTAGGACCTACACGTAAGTACTCCAAAAAATTATGTGAAAATTTGGGTGTTTCAAGAGATGGAGAAATAAACATAGCATAGCACCTTGGTTTTTGAGCAATAAATTATATTTATTGGAATTTTGAGGTTTTCTATTTTGATATATTTGTGTATGGCATTAAGTTGTTTTGAATTTATTTTTATAGGTGTCTTGAATCTGTTGTGAAGCAAAGGAAATGGAAAGAGTCTGTGAAGAGCTTGATGAAGCAAAAGCCGAGATTGAAAAGCTCCGGGCAGAACACAAAATAAAAACCCAACTGTCTGAGAGCTTGAAGAGAGCCCATAACGAGCAACTCATCAAAATTCAAGAGGCAAATGCAAAAATTCAGAAGCAAGCACAAGAAATCAGTGAGAAGGCAGATGAAATTTCCATCACAAAGCAAATGTACGAAGAGCTAAAGTCTAGTATGAGTGAGAAAGTGGCTATCATAAAAAATCTTAGCTCTGGAAATATCAAGCTTGGCATCAATTGTGACAAGAAGCTCAGGAAATGGGAAGAAGAAAAAAGGGAGCTAGTAGCGGCTTTAGATGTGGCTAATTCAAAGAACATGGATCAGGGGCAAAAACTTCATGCATATAAGGAAGAGCTTAAAGGGCTTAAATCGCTCCTCTCTGCTTCAGAGGAGAAGTTTTTGGAAGCAGAGAAAAGAGCCAAAGAGTCCAAAGAACTGAGACACAGAGATGATATGTTGCACAAATTAGAGGAGGAAAACAGGAAGGTCCAAGATCAACTCAAATGGAAGAAAGAGCAGTTCAAACATCTAGAAGAAGCCCATGAAAAGCTTCGAGGACAGTTTAAAGCAAGTAAGAAAGAGTGGGAAACCGAGAAATCTGCATTGCTTGATGAGATTTCCGCCCTGCAAACAAATTTAGATTCTCAAACCAGAATTGCAGAAGGTCTTCAAAGCCGATTACAGATGTGCAACCAAGCTCTAGCTCATGAAGAGAGCCGAAGAAAGTGTCTGGAAGTTCAGCTTTCTGAAACTAAAACATGCTTTGACAGTGTTCTTGTGGAGTGTGAGGAAGCAAAGTCGAAAATCGAATGCTTGACTGATCAAAGGGACAAGGATATTGCGAGCCTGAGAGACTTGTTGGGCACAAAGGACATGATTCACAAAGAAATGGAATACCGAGTTGGAAGACTCGAGCAAGAGAATCAGGAGCTGCGATTATCCGTTAAAGAATTGCAGGAAGCTCAGATTCAGGAGGCAGGAAGTTCTTCACTGTCAAAGTTACGGAACAAGCTCAAAAGGTTGGAGCACATACACAAGGACTGTTCTAAAAATCTCAGCGCCAAAGAAGATGAATGGAGCTCGAAATTGGAAAAAATGGAAGTGGACTTGACTCACTGCAGGTATGAGTTAGAGAGAAAAGATACAGTTATAAAGGAACTCCAAACTGAGTTGGAAAGTTGTCATTCTTCGATCATGCATTTGGAGTTACAGAATGAGGAGACCTCTCTCATGTTATTTGTGTTGAAATCAGGAATTTTGGAAGCTCGATTAAAGCTTTCCAATGAGATGCGTGATATGGATCTGAAAAACAGTGAGAGAGAAGAGGCGGTTTCTCTTCTTAAGAAACTGTTGGAGATAAAGAGTGCTGCTCTTGTTGAAACCCAAAGAAATATTGAAGAAGATCATGAGAAGATGGCATCTCTGTCGAGGAAGCTTGAGTCCTTAAGTCTTATAGAGCAACAGCAACTTCAATTGCAAGATGAGCTTGAGAGGCACAAGGAAATGCTCAAGGAATCATCCGAATGTCAACCTCACTTGACAGAGCAAGCTTTACTGATGAAAAGTGACTCAGAAAACAGTGAGAGAGAAGAGAAGGTTTCACTTCTTATGAAGCAGTTGGAGATTAAGAGTGCTGCTCTTGTTGAAGCCCAAAGAACTATTGAAGAAGACCATGAGAAGATGGCATCTCTGTTGAGCAAGCTTGAGTCCTTAAGTCTTATAGAGCAACAGCAACTTCAATTGCAAGATGAGCCTGAGAGGCACAAGGAAAGGCTCAAGGAATCATCCGAATGTCAACTTCATTTGAAAGAGCAAGCTTTGCTGATGAAAAGTGACTCGGAAAACAGTGAGAGAGAAGAGAAGGTTTCACTTCTTATGAAGCGGTTGGAGATTAAGAGTGCTGCTCTTGTTGAAGCCCAAAGAACTATTGAAGAAGACCATGAGAAGATGGCATCTTTGTTGAGCAAGATTGAGTCCTTAAGTCTTGTAGAGCGACAGCAACTTCAATTGCAAGATGAGCTTGAGAGGCACAAGGAAACGCTCAAGGAATCATCCGAATGTCAACTTCACTTGAAAGAGCAAGCTTTGCTGATGAAAAGTGACTCGGAAAACAGTGAGAGAGAAGAGAAGGTTTCACTTCTTATGAAACAGTTGGAGATTAAGAGTGCTGCTCTTGTTGAAGCCCAAAGAAATATTGAAGAAGATCATGAGAAGATGGCATCTTTGATGAGCAAGATTGAGTCCTCAAGTCTTATAGAGCAACAGCAACTTCAATTGCAAGATGAGCTTGAGAGGCAAAAGGAAATGCTCAAGGAATCATCCGTATGTCAACTTCACTTGAAAGAGCAAGCTTTGCTGATGAAAAGTGACTTGGAAAACAGTGAGAGAGAAGTGAAGGTTTCATTTCTTATGAAACAGTTGGAGATTAAGAGTGCTGCTCTTGCTGAAGCCCAAAGAAATATTGAAGAAGATCATGAAAAGATGGCATTTTTGTTGAGCAAGATTGAGTCCTTAAGGCTTATAGAGCAACAGCAACTTCAATTGCAAGATGAGCTTGAGAGGCACAAGGAAATGCTCAAGGAATCATCTGAATGTCAACTTTGCTTGAAAGAGCAAGCTTTGTGGATGAAAAGTGACTTGAAAAAGGTTCATGAAGCCTTAAACAGAGCAAATGATGAACTGGCTGGGAAGTTTTGTGAAGGAAATGAACTTGAATTTGAATTGCAGATATGGAAATCCATTGCTCAACGATTTAAAGCTAACCTCGAAGAAAACCAGCGAATGCGTAAAGAAGTAGAAGTTTCTCTTCTTGAAGAAGTGGAGATTGAGGCCACTCTCAAACAAGAGAAAGATAGTCTTGGCCATGCACTTGAAGAGAAAGACAGAAGAATAGATGATCTTCAGAGACAGCTTGTCTTCTTGGATAAAAAACTCAAGATTAGAGAAACAGGAAAAGAGAAGAAAAAGATACCCAATGGTCTCCAGAAAGAGATAGAGTGTCTGGAGCAAGAGTCGATGCAAAGAGAACTGGAAGGAGCGATTCTTGCTCATATCAATGCAGAGAGAAGCTATGAACACGAGAAAGATAATTTTCTCAGGCTTGTAGAAGAGAGAGATCAGAGAATAGATGATCTCCATCGACTTTTTATGTCAAGTCCAACGACATCTTTTTCGACACAGCTAGCAGAGAAGCAAGCAGAGCTTGATCTGGTGCACGGAGCTTGGGAGAAGATTGCAACATCTGCAGTTCTGAAGGAGATGGAAATTCAAGAGAAAGCATTGGTGTTGACAGAACTGGAAGATGATTTCAGTAACTTACAGAAGAAACTGGAGTCACACTTGTCTAGTTCAGAAGAGGAAGGAGAAGAGATTGCAACTGAACTGAAAGCGAAACAGTTAGAAATAAGGAAATTGACATCTGTAACCGACAAACTTGAAAGTGAAAACAGAATTTTGGTTGAAGATGTAAAGAAGTTACTGTCTAATAGGGATAGTTTGTTGGATTTTATGGGCAGTGTAACTGAGAAGGTAAGTCAGTTCTCTGTTGAAGACAAGCAGCTGATGAGAGTTTGGGAAAGGATTATGCAGAATTTTGATAATAATGGAAGGGGGATAGACTTGAAAGGCAATAATGATGATGACAATCTCTTTGATCCTTTAAAAGAGAACATGAATATTCATCACTCTTTGACAACAAAGAGAGTTGAAGCCACGACTGATGAAAGATCACCATTGAGAGCTCTCAACAATTAGATGCAACTGAGAAAAATAGCTATTTTCTATATAGCTTGTATTGTATTATGCTTCCTTGTATACTTGGTTTGGAACATCAGCATTCTATATATATGATTGATTTACACAATATTTGTTCATTGTTTCTATTTGAGTATCTCCTTTTTTATTTGTGATGAAATGTGTTGTGTTGCTATGCCTGAAACAAAATCAAGCATTCTCTTGGGGCTGTTGCTGAAACCTTTTTCATTAGAACTAGAAGCTTTTTATGTTTAAACCCTTGGTGATAGAACAACAATAGAGACTGCTAGAGGCTACTGAAGAGTCTTGTGCCATTACACATTGAAAACTGTTTTTGAAAAGAGTTTGCCAAACAATTTTTTGTGTTTTCTGGAAAATTAAACAAAAACCGAATACTCTATAGGTTTTTATTTTGATTTTCATATAGGTTTTGCTTTTATTGTTATGGATCATTTTGATTATTTGGATATTGTAAATTAGTTGTGTGAATAATGGTATTTTAAATCAATTGGGTCGTTAATAGCTATTGTTCTGATTATAGTTAGAGTTAAAATAAGTACTATATCATATTGAATTGCTGAAATTGTTATTGAAATTTATTAATTTTGAATTTGAATCAGCTAGAAGACTTTGGTTTGGTTCTGGTTTGATCCAATAGGTAGTTTGGTTCGGTCCCAAAATTCAGGGAACTGTTGGGATCAATTCCATTCATGATTGACTTCATAACCAAACCAAATTGAGCCGTGTACCTTGACTCTAGCCGGCCTTCAAGTTGTTGATCAGCTGTAATATAGCAGCCCTGTCCAGAATTCAGACCTCTGTTATACTTGGACTAACATTGAACAGGCTAGGTTTTACCTAAGAAATCAATAGCATACAAAAGTTGGGAGTTATGAACAGAGATATTGATCTTTCTCAACAAAATATATATCACCATCCAACTTACTGGTAGCTTAAGAGCTGCCTGGAGTACTGCACTCGACTTTTGTTGTTGAACATTGGCACCACCCCAAAGGCCTTTGATTAGGATGTACCATATTTGGATATGGTCAGAAGCTCTCTCTGGGAATACTTCATGCCATTTTAGAGTATTTCTACAGCAAGTTATATCATTCTTGCTGAAGCATAAATGAGTTCAATTATCCAGAAATGTTTCCAACGGACTAGAAAGCTTTCACATTTCTGAAATAGTCAGATACTACTCTAACCATGCTCCTTTTAGCACACACTGGAGACCACTGCAGCCATGAGGGCCATGGCCAACCTCCATCAGCGCATAAACTCTCTCTCTCTAATCTCAACATTAACCCCCACACAGCTGTTGGGATATCATCAATTTGTTCTTTTTTTCGTTTTCTTTTTTCTCTCTTTAAACGGATGTAGCACACGTGCACATGCAATCATTACAAGGTCTTAGGTATATATACTTCACGATACTTTAATACCCAGGAGATGGGGAACTTTGCTTCACAGTCACAAGTAAGTGCACAGATATGAAAGTCTGCAGCAGTTACCTGGCTGCTGTGGCCATCAGAACACAGTGAGATGTAAAGTAGAGCAAAAGGTGAATGGTTCAAATAAAATAAAACTAGAGCCAGCACATTGTATATCCAGCTTTGGTAAACTGAGAAAATGATATATTACATTGCATGCTTGTTTAGAAATGCTATTTATAAATCATGTAGCAGATCCATAACACATGAACAATCCCATATTCTACGTAACTCCCAGTCTCCCATCCTCAGTGAACTCTCCACATGGTAATGCACATTTTCAACGCGTTCTACAGATGGGGGACAATGGAGTTGTATCTTATTCAGGTATCACAACACAAACAATAGTTGCAGTGGAACATCGTAAGATAATAAGGCACACGATCACATTTTTCAGGATGATTTCAACTCAAGCATGGCACATGCAATCGGGAGCTGGGTATGTATATATAGACTGTTTGGGCTTCCTAACCCTGATCTGCCCTTCTCTGTTTTTGTGACCTTCCTCCACTGCTTGTTGAAATTCTGACCAACTCATGCTCTTATTCAGGAATAGCTGGCCCAACAATGCCATGTTCGGCCGAAGTGTCTTCAAATTCTCAAAAGTTCGGTGTCCCACCATTGCATTGTGCATATTTCCCGGAGAGGCAGAAATGAAGATGTCACTGTGCATGCTGACATAATAATCAACTGCAGCTAATAAAGAAGCCTTTCCCTTAATCTGGGCCCTTTCCTCTGAAGAGGCAAGGCTCTTTTTTTCTTCCATTAGTGGAAACAAATTTCTCAAGGTTGAGATTCTAGCTTCTCCACCATATACCTGGAAAATATGAACATTAACAATATTGGAAATTAGACAACAAATAAAGGACCACATTCCAAAGATAAGTAAAATAACCCGCCCCAAGTAGTTGAGCTGACTTAGAAGGAAGTTACGTATAAACCTTGTGGGAGGCAAGATATAAACGAGTATTGTTGTCAAAGCCCAAAGCTGCTAGCAGCAATCCAATTTCTTCAGGAGTCAAAGGACAGCGCCCCTGATTCCTCAGCTCCTCATCAGTGAATTGAGAGTTAAGGACCCTTCCCTGCCAAATCACTTGCCTGTACTTAGCCAGAGCCAGCTTTTCAGCTTTACCCCCGCCAAAATCACAGGCTGAATGGGCAGCCATATCCTGTGTCACAACCACGAATTGTTTGTGGTAGGTAAATTTTATTATATATAAGAAATATACAAATGTACAACAAAGAACAGAGCAAAGGGACCTAGCCCTTACACCGGAGCAACCTTGGCTGCTAAAGAAATGTTTAAAAATCATTGTTTGAAAGATTTCATTTACAAGCTGAGACAGCTTATACAAATCCATCATTCATTCAGTAAACTGGAACAGAGAAGAAATAAACATCCAATTCAGGCTCCCTGGCTCTGTTTTCATGATTGTCATTTTGCTGACAAAACTTTCGCATCAACATCCCAGTTGAGAAAAACCTCCCATTTATATTGATTTCTACGGTTTGAAGGTATGTATCTGGTACTTTTGTGGGTACATCGCGGCTTAAATGTAATTCTTTTTTAAAAAACAGGGATAGAAAAATAAATGTAGTTTCAATTTTTAGATTCTAATTTTTAGAGAACTCCAAAAAATAAATAGTATCTTTGTAAATGTCCCAAATAAAAAAATTACATTTAGGGTTCTCTCTCTCTCTCTCTCTGTGTTGGTCTCATGAATCTCATTGACACTCAACACCTTCGCCTTCTGGTAAGTCTCCTCTCCTGTCCATCTTCTTCTTTATTTTCATATCTCAACAACTCTATCTCTTATCCTCTCTTCATTAGAATCACATCTCATCTCTCATCTCACACTCCCTCTCAAAGTGCCATGAATCTCACCACAACTAACATCGACACCTTCCCGTAAGTCTCCTCTCCTCTCTGACTCTCCCTCTGGTCTCTTCTCTTCTCTATTTTGTACATTGCTTGAAGTACTTTTTGCATTTGATTTTCTAATTGTAAATATAAATTTTGTTTTTCTTATGAACATACCCCAGCCATACCTATATCATATTTTTTTAAGTTTTGTCATATTGGCATACCCACAACATACGGTACCTGTACCAACATCCATACCCATATTCGTGCTTCATAGTATCAACGATTTTAATCCTCTAGCACAAATAACAAGTGACTTTTGTTTCAACCTCTACCATTCTTTTAACCTGTCTCTAGTAGCTAGCTTTCCTTTACAGACATTAGAAAGGCACATTTGTGGATATGATTGGTAAATCAGAAAATCTTAAACCAAGGCACTTCTGGTTGGTAGTTTGCCTCTTAATGCCATTCTTAGTTGAAGTACACCATAAAGACATGGAATTAATCTTTAAGGTATGGGGGAATGCTGCACAATTTCTTCAATTTCTTATGTCCTTTTGCTTAGGCCAGGTTAAAACTTAAAAGTTCATAGAAAAAAAATAAATAAATAAATAATCCTTTCAGCCTAAATGGAAAATGAGCTAATATTGAGCACAAGTAGCACGAAGTTTAATAACGAATACCAATAAGTGATGGAGCATGATGATTAAACAACCTAATTAATATACTCATAGGATCATTACATTAAGCACTAAAAAATTGCGACCCCACCAATTTGCAGACATGTAACATGCAATCTGCATATACTGGATGGCAGACAGAGACCGTGCATGAGGTATACAAAATATAGTTACATAGTAATAGCGATAGAGAAGGGCCTAAATCGATTGTCTCGAATGTTGAAAGTTACAAAAGCACATCAAGCATGAAGTCAAAACTTGTAACCTCTTTCTCTACACTAGGGAACCAAGAGTAAAAAATTAGATACTCAGATCATTAAATATTTATAAAAGAATCAGGCCATACCTTGTCAAACCGAAGGTGTAGGACAACAAACTTCCTTGGTCCTTGTTTGTTTTTTGCATCAGTGACCGCTTTTAGGTCATTAGCACCAAGTACTTCATTTTGGTCAGCTGGATTACGAAGGCGACTAACAAGAGCATCTCCAAGAGCTCTAATATGAGGAACGAAGATTAATGCTTTAAAGTTGACTTTACAACGTAGGAGTTGGATATATGTTGGTAAGTGATCAAATGCTAGGCGGTGAGAAAATGGTGCAATTGCAGCTATCCCATAACTGGATCATTAACAATGTATGAAGATCACAATCAAAGTATAGAAATGAAGTAAAAAGTTCAAATAACTTTAAAACATCAACTAATACGCTCAACACTGAAATTATATCAAGGAACAAACTGAACATAAGCAGTAAAGAGTACAAAAATTTCAAAGATATTGTGTAACCCATTAGAAGTTCACAGACAAACATCTCTGCTGAAAAGGATTAGAGGAATCACTATTATGCTTTTTTATGACTTTATTTTGAAGCACCTTCATCTTGGGTACTACAGGTTCTTCTAGAACAACAAGATAACCCAACAAGTAAAGCATTAACCCTATGCGTCTGTATCTCTTTTTAATCTTTTTGTCATTCCTTCTTGTTATGATTTACATATAGGCACAGACTCACAGTTATATTCATGATTCGGGAAAAAAAATAATAGGCACAATTAGTCAAGAGTTTTTCATTAAAACATTAAAGAACCTACAGAAGCCAAAATGATTAATGTGTTATGCTTTTAAGGACAGGAACAAGGTCATCCTAACATTTTCACATCATATGCCTATTCTGAAACTGCACTTCTTGCAAACTTTCTTGATTAAACTGAAAGCCTTGTGCACCTTTGGAATTGGAAATTAACACGTGAAGTAGAATCATACTTTTCCAAAAATTAGAAAAACAAAAGGCATTCATACTCTTTTTAAAATCACCTTTCCCAAAGAAAACATCCAATTCCATCACATCCCCCCTTAACCCATTCCAACACTGCTGAAATCATAGATTTACACTTATGTTGAAGATATCAAGATCCCATGATTTATGCTTATCATGATTTTGCATCTTGATTTATTTCAATCCCTTAGCCGAAGGCATACGATTGTGTCTCCCATTCCATATATATGTGTAAGGCTGTGTAAAATTGGATGTATTATTGATTGATATTGATTGATTGATGTATTACAAGATTAATAAATTACAATTCCTATACAATCTATATATAGAAGAAAATGTGGTAGTAGGTGTAGTGGAGGTGATAGTGGGTTAGGTGAAGTGGAGTGTGTGGTGAAGTGGAGGTAGGTGAAGTGGAGTGTGTAGTGGAGTAGGTGAAGGTAAAGATGAGAAATTCTAACAGCCCCCCGCAAACTCAAGGAGGAGAGAAACTAACCAACTTGAGTTTGGAGAGAGTAACAAAACAAGAAAATACATAAAAATAAAAAAAGATAGGAGACACTGTATGGTCGTGTCAGACCGTTGGTGAAGACACTGTATGGGGTGTCATAACGGTGTAGAGGACACTGTATGGTGGTGTCAGACCGATGTAGAAGACAGTTTATGGGGTCATGTCGGACCGTTGTAGAAAAACAGTTTATGGGGTCATGTCGGACCGTTGTAGAAAAACAGTTTATGGGGTCATGTCGGACCGTTGTAGAAAAACAGTTTATGGGGTCATGTCGGACCGTTGTAGAAAAACAGTTTATGGGGTCATGTCGGACCGTTGTAGAAAAACAGTTTATGGGGTCATGTCGGACCGTTGTAGAAAAACAGTTTATGGGGTCATGTCGGACCGTTGTAGAAAAACAGTTTATGGGGTCATGTCGGACCGTTGTAGAAAAACAGTTTATGGGGTCATGTCGGACCGTTGTAGAAAAACAGTTTATGGGGTCATGTCGGACCGTTGTAGAAAAACAGTTTATGGGGTCATGTCGGACCGTTGTAGAAAAACAGTTTATGGGGTCATGTCGGACCGTTGTAGAAAAACAGTTTATGGGGTCATGTCGGACCGTTGTAGAAAAACAGTTTATGGGGTCATGTCGGACCGTTGTAGAAAAACAGTTTATGGGGTCATGTCGGACCGTTGTAGAAAAACAGTTTATGGGGTCATGTCGGACCGTTGTAGAAAAACAGTTTATGGGGTCATGTCGGACCGTTGTAGAAAAACAGTTTATGGGGTCATGTCGGACCGTTGTAGAAAAACAGTTTATGGGGTCATGTCGGACCGTTGTAGAAAAACAGTTTATGGGGTCATGTCGGACCGTTGTAGAAAAACAGTTTATGGGGTCATGTCGGACCGTTGTAGAAAAACAGTTTATGGGGTCATGTCGGACCGTTGTAGAAAAACAGTTTATGGGGTCATGTCGGACCGTTGTAGAAAAACAGTTTATGGGGTCATGTCGGACCGTTGTAGAAAAACAGTTTATGGGGTCATGTCGGACCGTTGTAGAAAAACAGTTTATGGGGTCATGTCGGACCGTTGTAGAAAAACAGTTTATGGGGTCATGTCGGACCGTTGTAGAAAAACAGTTTATGGGGTCATGTCGGACCGTTGTAGAAAAACAGTTTATGGGGTCATGTCGGACCGTTGTAGAAAAACAGTTTATGGGGTCATGTCGGACCGTTGTAGAAAAACAGTTTATGGGGTCATGTCGGACCGTTGTAGAAAAACAGTTTATGGGGTCATGTCGGACCGTTGTAGAAATTCACATTCTATCATATCTGCTGACTATTAAAAAATTCAAATAGCACATGGTACTTAAGAAGAAAACATATAAACATATAGGTCACGAACACAAAAAAAAAATAATAAATAAATAAAAAATAAAATAAAAAAATACAAAGAAAGAGAAATAAAAAAAAAGAAAGAAATAGAAAGAATATAGGGGTGAAAAGAATCAGAATATATATATATATGATTATTTTTGTATTTTAAAAAAAAAGAAGGAAAAGGCTGAAAATATTAAAAAAAAGATTGTAGGTGTGCTGGAGTGGGTTCAAAAGTGGACTGATAATGAGTACGAAAAATAAAAAGAAAAGGAAAGTGGGGAACAAGCACCAATAAGCTTTATAATAAAAAAAAAATTTTGGGCGGTGCGTGCACGTGGGAACAACGGGAAGAGAGAGAGAGAGAGAAGCTCCACTACCAAGCAATTTCCTGAGAAAGAGAAGGATTTGCTGTGCCAGAGAAAATTTTCAACCGGGTATTGTTTCTTTTAAATGCACTCTCCAGACGCTTGGATGCCAAGAACTTGGGTGGAGCTCCATCAACAAGTATCGGAATACATGGCTTTCCATTCAATGGTTCACCGAGATCACATTTGACGCTGTTTATTCGAGGACAAGATTCATTGAGAAGGAAGCTCCGGTGGTTGAACGAGCAACGAGAGAACAGAGAAGAAGATGATGATGTTGAAGAAGACGAAGGCGATGGCAGAAACAGAGAAGCCATATATATAGATATAGATGGATATGTACGTATATCTGTGAGATAAGCGGCTAGGGTTTGTTGAGAGAATGAGGAAGAGAACGATGCTGCTGCGGCTGCCGTTGCCGACTTGGACGACGCCGATGGTAGCAGAGTCATCGTCACTACTCGCGACTCTAAGATAGCCTCGGATGTTGATCCGTGGAGTCGCCCACCGCTGGAACTCAAGCCCTTCACTGATGAGCTGAGTTGGGAATTGTTCTCGAACAAGTTTCGTGTAGGCAGACACGACACAGATACACACCACCAGTTAAACAGTTACAAGGTAAAAATTCTGAAAATATGCGGCGGTTTGCCTCCAGCAATTGTCCTGCTTGGACGATTGTTGGCAACTATACAATCTAATGAGTTGGTCTGTGTAATTGATAGTCTTTTAATCGACTTGGACGACGCCGATGGAGGTGATGATTTACAGAGTGAGGTTGCAGAGACCAAGGTGAAAGGAGAGGAGGTATGTGTTGGGGTCCGGCGGGCGGTGAAGGCAAGGTTGCCGCCCGCCGGAAGGTGAAGATCACCTAAAGCTAACCTATTGCTCTGATACCATGTAAAATTGGATGTATTATTGATTGATATTGATTGATTGATGTATTACAAGATTAATAAATTACAATTCCTATACAATCTATATATAGAAGAAAATGTGGTAGTAGGTGTAGTGGAGGTGATAGTGGGTTAGGTGAAGTGGAGTGTCTCAGTCCATCCTCAACCATCTACACAGATTCCAGTGCATACTGCTCCTATATGAAGAATTCAACTAATGCGTCGGCGTCTACCGCGAAGTCAGTTCCGGCAGCGACAGACAAGAAGGCTGGAAAAGTGCATACAGTCGGACAGGAGTCCAGCCGATCTACTGACCACGCTGAGGAATCGGACCGTAGATCGAATCAGAAAAACCGGGGTAGAGGACGTCAGAATGACCGGGATGACTACCCATCTGATCTCGGTTCCGCGAAGGCCGGACAGGTGGAGGAACAGCCTAGATGAGGCTCCTTGGCTCACGCGTTGCAAGGTTGTAATGCACGCACCTTAACCCGGTAGGAAGGCCTGTGCTTGGAGCTTGGCCGAGAAGGTCTTTGGCTGACCGGCGTTACCAATCTCCAGCTCAGCTTCGCCGGAATACAGTTGAGCACGGCTGGAATTAAGCCCGGTAGTAGGAAACTACGACATCAACTGCACTTGGGCATGTTCAGTATGGCTGTTGATAGCCGAGATAATGTTGCCCGGCTGCCATGCTCCCAGCAGAGTGGGCTGGCAGTTGGGTTAGGTGATGTATAGCAAGATTTGTGCTGACAGATGGGATAACAGAGCCACGTGTCGAGAGACTAATGAGAGTAGATTTGGGGCGCAGAAGGGTATATAAGCATGTCTGCGCCCCCCATACGCGATAGAGGAACACTCTGTAAGGAAATTCTTACACTCAAACACTCCTCTCTCTCTCTCTATCCTAAGGTATGCGCTAACTTGATCGTCGGAGGGTTTTTCTGGCCACACACCGCCGGGTAGCTCATCGTTATTTGCTCGCAGGTGACCGGATAGAAGCGGAGCTTGGAAGAAAGGAGTGCGGGCTTGCCTAAATATTTGCTCCCTGCACATAAACGAACCGAGTTCGAGCTCTCGTCAAGCTCGACTCGTTTATCTTTTTTAAATTATATAATAAATAAATTATTTATATATTAAATAATATATAAATGTATATATAAAAAATAATATAAATAAATTATTTATATATTAAATAATATAAATAATATTTTCTATT